TATATATATATATATATATATATATATATATATATATATACTAGTTGTAATAGCAAAATTGTCCAAATCATGTAAAAAGTAAAATTGTTCCTTTGTTAGATTAAGCTTTGAACCGTTCTATCTTAGAAATGATGAAAGATATCTTACTGGAATTCTCCGAGGTTTTTATAGCACTGTTGGACTCTGCTTTGAGCAGTAAGAATGCATAATTACTCTCCAAGCTGAACAGAAGAATCGTGATGACATCGAGCATAAACGAAAATGACATGTTCGTTATTAATTGATCATAGCTAAGAAAGCTCACGGAGGATTGAAATAAAGTTCAAATATATATATATATATATATATATATATATATATTCTAGGATCCTTTACCAATTTATTTAAGATGATCTTCGCCCTCTCTACCTTCTAACATTCTGTCCTGGAGTAAGAAGGTGTCTCACACGTTTCATGTACGATTTCATTTTCAAGTCTTTTTTCATGACTGAAACGCATTTCTCATGTGCCAAACGTGTTATGAATTGAGTTGAGTTTTTAATTGATCTCTTTAACTCTCAACTGAACTGATGATCCCTCTTCCTGTTGTGACCTCCTGATCCAGTTTTCCTCTCTACTGTTCCCTCTTTTTTAAACTTATTCTCTGTTCTCTTGATAATTCTTGAATGGACTTTGAAGATGGAAGCAAATTATGAATGTTGGTACCATTACTGAAAGTCTGAATGATCTTTTTCCTCTCACCATTGCTCAGCTTGGAAGACAGTGGGGATGACACAAAACGATGTTCTCTTTCTAGCTGAATAACTCAAAGCGTCTTTTCAGGGATTCTTATGACTTATAGTATCAAGATGGCTAAACGTCTTATCTGAAAACCTGGAAAAAAGAAACTCAATAAGTTTAGTGATTTTTAGATATTGAACATTTTGTTTGATGGATAATTATGCTGTTACATCCTGTATATATATATATATATATATATATATATATATATATATATATATATATATATAAGTCTACCATTCGACCATGCAATGAATATTGCTGTCACATCTGATCCAATGCTTCTGCTATGTATTTAGAGTTTTTTGATAGAATACAAAGAAGAATCTGCAATGTTATTGATCCTGATCTGCCATTTCGGCTTCAGTAATATTCCTATCACTGTAATATAGCTACCCTGTGTATTTTCTATAAATATATTCATGTCAATTGTTCTCATAAGAATTCTTCTTTTGTACCCAGTGCAGTACTAGACTGGCAGCTAGGTCTCACCATTTTTACATTTGAAATGGCTAACTGCAACCGTAAGTTCTCGCTTGTGGGAATCTCTTCCGGGTTCATGTGACCCGATCAACTTTGATCTTCAAAAATATAAATGCAATGTCAATCGTTATCGTCTGTCTTCTTAATTCTTGTTGTTTTATTTTTCTCTTTCCTTAGTAATGTTTTCTTTTTCTCGTATTCTTTCACATTCAGCAATTCCTTGTAACATAGATGCTTTACTGCATTGTGTTAGGGTAATTTACCCACGCACGCATGGGTTCTCCCAGATATAAATAGGAGCAGGTACTGACTTTTGGAGAGGGAAGTTTCTTGGAGTCAGCTCTGACAGTCGGACCTAACATTCTTGCTGTAACACTCTCGTTTGTATTTGTTTATATGTATATGTGTATATATTTACAAATACATGAATTATTCACACAAAAACTAATGCAAAGGTTAATGATTTAAATGGCGAAACATCCATCATCGTAAACAATTCAAATAATATACAAAAACCTCCGTATCCGTTATGAATGAAATGATCCCTGTTTATATAAATTTCTGCCGTATTAGTTCTTATTTTTACTACAAGCTTTCGTCTGTTCCTACAGACATCTTCAGGTATAGAATAGATGTTTTTCTTGTTTTTTCTCTTAGTAATAAGAGGACAACGAAAATATGTGTATATATTTATATATATATATATATATATATATATGTGTGTGTGTATGTGTGTGTCGGGGTCAGAGTGGCAGATAAATCATGTGACCCTGGTGAATGGTATGTCACGGAAACTTTGAATTCGGTTAAAGGATAAGTCAACTGCACTTTTATTATTATTTTTTTAACTAGATGATAGTTTCTCTCGTTGTCCTCTACATATGGGTATCCAGCAACTCACTTAGTTGAACGAACAGTCAGATTCGATTATAGTGGTGAGGGTTTATGCAGAACCATCTGCACTCTTTGGGATAATCGAATGCACATAGCATGCCACAAGGTCTCCAAACGATTCTCCTCAGGTTTTGAATTCGGAGTTGTCCCTCTCCTAGATTGTCTTCCAACTAAGGCTAAAAACGTCTGTCTTCCCGTGTATTTAATCCATTGTTGAGATGAAGAAAATTACAACATTGCGCATAAGTTAATGTAACGGTTCTCCGAGTTCTCCATTTCAAGCCGCTATCCCTTACGCTACCAGCACATTTATACTATATATATATATATATATATATATATATATATATATATAATCACCGCGCACATGTGTGTACGTGCGTGTGTGTGCGGCGACTTTTCAAAGGAAGACTTTTATAAAAATCAAAAAAAAAAAACTTCAAACAGACACAGAATTAAACTTGTTATTTATTTTTCTATTGATATTTTAGGATTGAATAATTCTTCTTCGCAGTATTTGCATATGCGTGGGTATTTCTTGACAAAACGAGAATAAACATATACATATTTCTTTTATGAGTGCCAGTAAAAAAGAAATAATAGAAAAAAGAAAAGAAGAAAAATCTTCATGTTGCTTCCTAAAAAGAAAAAAAAAGCACAAAAAGAATTGGCCCTATTTCATCCAGAAAGAAAATCTATTGACAGTAGTATAAATATATGGAATAAATGATGCAATTAAATTCTGCTTGAAGAGACGCCACTGTTTGTCGGGAGTAACAAACCTATATCAAAGATTATTCACCCTATGTTTATTACCTTGCTACTGACTAATCACCCATTGACAAAGAGGCGTGGTAGGTGGGACTAATGAGACGAAAGACTGCCTCGAGCAGGGGGTGAAAAGAAAAATGGTAGCCGAAGAGGAAAACGATCAGTAATATGATACGAAATACTAGCCTGCCATACCCCACACGCTGCAGGCAGATTAATGATCAGTGAATTCGTCTATCAATCCATTATTTTAGCGGGTTCAATCCTCACCGGGTTCCCAATAATTTTTACCTTGTACCATACTAAGTAAAGCTTATTAAAAAGAGATCGATCCACGGTTTTTGGTTAGCAACTCGTTTATATATAACACCATTCGCTAGCAGGGTCACGGTCATTAATTGGCCTTTTGTCACCGCCTACACCGGGTGGTGTAACCACGTTGAGTGGCCCGGTCCTCAGGGACTTAGAACAACGTTTTAACCACAGGGCTAACTCTGCGTTGGTCAATGCTGGCCGCTTCGATTCACAACAACTCTGCCCACGTTGTGTTCTTGGACCCAGAGTAGTGGAAGTTCGAACGTCGTAGTAAGGTTCAAGCCGTGACAAGCTATAGCGCCTGTCATGGCTTGAACCAGCGCTGCGATACTACGCTTAAGGAAGAAAAATATCTTGACACCGAAAAATAAAATGAGAGATTCATGGGGTTAATCTTCAATTGGTTTATATAGCTCTTGGTACAACAAAAATTAACCCTTCCCGCATCAATCTCTATAGTGACACTGGGACTTGTCTAAATTTCTAGAGGAGCTGTATTCAAAGCTTTTTGGAATAAGAAAATCTGGTGGCAGTTGACGTGAATTCTGTATGCACTCCATGCGAGTTCTCAGCCTGAGTCTCTGAACTCCCAAAATTATCTGCTTATATGCACTTCGACCCAAAACTGGCGTGATACCGAAGGGTTGTGAGTATTCAGTGATTCCCCAATCCTCACTAATCACAATAAAGGTTTTCTTTGTTTCTTATTTCTTTCTTAATCAACTTTCCAAGTTTGGAGAATTATCCATCTTCCTTGGGCGTAGACACAGGGATTGCTCTTCCCTTAATACCAACCTGCTTCCCTTCACATCTCACACCGCCATACCGCACAGCCGGGGCTAAATTCTTCCTCCTTCCTCCTCGGTGTTCTAACTCTGCCTACTTCTTAGGGTTGGTATAACTGTCTTTGTGACAAATCTAATTTTTAAAGTGCATAGATGAAAGAGTGTAGTTTATTTTCCTCTTTAATTTCAATTCTCTGACTCCCTTCCACTTCCTTACTATTACCTCTGTCCAGCGAGAACACAAACCAGACCACTGTTTCTCATTTTAACCTTCTGGGCGATAGATAAAATTATCATTGGTCCGATCGCCATAAACCAGACCACCTACCTGTTACGACAGTATCAATTTTCATAATCCTAACCCTGGCAGTGGGTTCATTCTCTGTTTTCATTTCTGAATTCGTTTTCGCCAACGAAAATATAATTCCCGTCTAGCTCTCTGCTCGTCAATTACATGAGTTTTTCTAATTTCCCAAGAAAGAGATAAAGCCACTTCCCAATTTGCTTTACCAGTATGCCAGATTTTCGATAAATGAAAAAAAAAACTCTTGGTACATCGTTCCAATTCGTAGGTGTGTGACACCCCAGGTGGCCTTTTTTTTCACTTGCACATTACCAGGGAAAATCTCACTCACTCACTCACTCACTCACTCACTCACTCACTCACTCACACTTATATATAATCTTCCGTTTTATATTTTATTTTGGTCTTAACACTCTTCTGCTTAGTGTCACAGATTTAGTGTCACACCGATCTCAAGCAACTCCATAACAGACGTCCGTGTAGCATAAGCACCCCCCCCCAAAAGAAAACAAAAACTTACTAAATACGTTATTTTATGCTGTATTCAAGAATTCTACCAATTCTACTATTTACACTGAAATGACTTCCTTTTCTGTTTATTAGACAAAAGCATTAAAAAAAAATAAGCAATCATTTAAACAACGTGAATACTAATTCTTTTGCAAAAGTTAAGGAATATGGATACTGGTCAAAATCAAAAGATGCATATGAAAATAGATATGAATGAATAGATAGATAGATAGATAGTAGGCTGAGTGAAGATAGAGGATAAATAGATAGATAGATAGATAGATAGTAGGATAAGGCTGAGAAGATAGAAGATAGATAAGATAGAGATAGATATTGAAGATAGATAGATAGATAGTAGGCTGAGTAGATAGATAGATATGAACATATTGAGATAGATATGAACATAGATAAATTGATAGATATGAAAAGACTTCAAGATAGATAGATAGTAGGCTGAGTGAAGATAGATAGATAGATAGATAGATAGATATGAACATATTGAGATAGATATGAACATATTTAAATTGATAGATATGAAAAGACTTCAAGATAGATAGATAGTAGGCTGAGTGAAGATAGATAGATAGATATGAACATAGATAGATATGAACATATTTAAATTGATATGAAAAGATCAAGATAGATAGATAGTAGGCTGATGAAGATAGATAGATAGATTAGATATGAACATATTTAAATTGATAGATATGAAAAGACTTAAAGATAGATAGATAGATAGTAGGCTGAGTGAAGATAGAAGATAGATAGATAGATATGAACATATTGAGATAGATATGAACATATTTAAATTGATATGAAAAGATATAGATAGATAAAGTGAAGATAGATAGATAGATATGAACATATTGAAATAGATAGATAGATAGATAGTAGGCTGAGTGAAGATAGATTTAGATATGAAATATATTGAGATAGATGATAGATATGAAAAGACTTCAAGATAGATAGAGAGTAGGATGAGGAAGATAGATGATAGACATATTGAGATAGATATGAACATATTTAAATTGATAGATATGAAAAGACTTCAAGATAGATAGATAGTAGGCTGAGTGAAGATAGATAGATAGATATGAACATATTGAGATAGATATGAACATGAAAAATTGATAGAGAGTATGAAAAAGATATTGAGATAGATAGAATAGATTTAGATATTTAGATAGATAGATGAAGATAGATAGATAGATATGAAAGAAAATGAACATATTTAAAGATAGAGATCAAGATAGATAGATAGGCTGAGTGAAGATAGATAGAGATAGATATGAACATATTGAGATAGATGAACATATTTAAAGATAGATATGAAGATAGATAGATAGTATGAGTGAAGATAGATAGATAGATATGAACATATTGAGATAGATTGAACATATTTAAATTGATAGATATGAAATAGATTCAAGATAGATAGATAGATAGATAGATGAAGATATTGAGATAGGAAATATGAACATATTGATTGATAGATGAAAAGATAGATAAATAGATAGATGAGTGAAATAGATAGATAGATATAACATATTGAGAGATAGAACATATTTAAATTGATAGATATGAAAAGATAAGATAGATAGATAGTAGGAGGAAGATAGATAGATAGATATGAACATATTGAGATAGAATGAACATATTTAAATTGATAGATATGAAAAGACTTCAAGATAGATAGATAGTAGGCTGGGAAGAAGATAGATAGATAGATAGATATGAACATATTGAGATAGATATGAATTGATAGATAGATAGAAAAGACTTCAAGATAGATAGATATATGAAGAAGATAGATAGATAGATATGAACATATTGAGATAGATATGAACATATTTAAATTGATAGATATGAAAAGACTTCAAGATAGATAGATAGTAGGCTGAGTGAAGATAGATAGATAGATAGATATATTGAGATAGATATGAACATATTTAAATTGATAGATATGAAAAGACTTCAAGATAGATAGATAGTAGGCTGAGTGAAGATAGATAGATAGATATGAACATATTGAGATAGATATGAACATATTTAAATTGATAGATATGAAAAGACTTCAAGATAGATAGATAGTAGGCTGAGTGAAGATAGATAGATAGATATGAACATATTGAGATAGATATGAACATATTTAAATTGATAGATAGATCAAGATAGATAGATAGTAGGCTGATGAAGATAGATAGATAGATTGAATATATTGAGATAGATATGAACATATTTAAATTGATAGATAGATCAAGATAGATAGATAGTAGGCTGAGTGAAGATAGATAGATAGACATATGAACATATTTGAGATAGATAGAACATATATAGATGATAGATATGAAAAGATATGAACATATTGAGATAGACATATTGATATGAAGAGATAGATAGATATGAACATATTGAGATAGATATGAACATATTTAAATTGATAGATATGAAAAGACTTCAAGATAGATAGATAGTAGGCTGAGTGAAGATAGATAGATAGAAGATAGATAGATAGGATAGATATGAAAATATTCAAGATAGATAGATAGTAGATAGTTGATGAAGATAGAAGATAGAACATATTGAGATAGATATATTTCAAGAGATAGATATATGAGTGAAGATAGATAGATAGATATGAAACATATTGAGATAGATATGAAAAGATTTCAAGATAGATAGATAGATAGTAGGAAGATAGATAGATAGAGAATAGATGAGATAGATATGAACATATTTAAATTGATAGATAGAAAAGATTCAAGATAGATAGATAGTAGGCTGATGAAGATAGATTATGAATTGATAGATATGATTTAAAATAGATACTTCAAGATAGATAGATAGATGAAGATAGATAGATAGATATGAACATATTGAGATAGATATGAACATATTTAAATTGATAGATATGAAAAGACTTCCAAGATAGATAGAGTAGATAGTGAAGATAGATTATAGATATGAACATATTGAGATAGATATGAACATATTTAAATTGATAGATATGAAAAGATCAAGATAGATAGATATATTTAAATTGAGTGAAGAGATAGATAGATAGATATGAACATATTGAGATAGATATGAGATATTTAAATTGATAGATATGAAAAGACTTCAAGATAGATAGATATATTGAGTGAAGATAGATAGATAGATATGAACATATTGAGATAGATATGAACATATTTAAATTGATAGATATGAAAAGACTTCAAGATAGATAGATAGATGAAGATAGATAGTAGAGGAACATATTGAGATAGATATGAACATATTTAAATTGGATAGATATGAAAAATAGATAGATTCAAGATAGATAGAATATTGATAGCTGATGAAGATAGATGAGATAGATATGAACATATTTAAATTGATAGATATGAAAAGACTTCAAGATAGATAGATAGTAGGCTGAGTGAAGATAGATAGATAGATAGAACATATTGAGATAGATATGAACATATTTAAATTGATAGATATGAAAAGACTTCAAGATAGATAGATAGTAGGCTGAGTGAAGATAGATAGATAGATATGAACATATTGAGATAGATAGATATTGATAGATGAAAAGATCAAGATAGATAGAATTGAGATGAAGAAGATAGATAGATAGATGAATATTGAGATAGATATGACTTCAAATAGATATTTAAATTGAGATAGATATAGAAAATTTAAATTGATAGAAGATAGATAGATAGTAGGCTGAAGATAGATAGATAGATAGATTGAGATAGATATGAACATATTTAAATTGATAGATATGAAAAGATCAAGATAGATAGATATTTAGTGAAGATAGATAGATAGAACATATTGAGATAGATATGAACATATTTAAATTGAAGATATGAAAAGACTTCAAGAAGATAGATAGTAATGAGTGAAGATAGATAGATAGATATTGAGATAGATATGAACATATTTAAATTGATAGATATGAAAAGACATAGATATGAAGATAGATAGATAGATAGTGAACATATTGAGATTAGATATGAACATATTTAAATTGATAGATAAGGAAAAGACTTCAAGATAGATAGATAGTAGGCTGAGTGAAGATAGATAGATAGATATGAACATATTGAGATAGATATGATATTTAAATTGATAGATATGAAAAAGACTTCAAGATAGATAGATAGTAGGCTGAGGAAGATAGATAGATAGATATGAACATATTGAGATAGATATGAACATATTTAAATTGATAGATATGAAAAACATAGATTTGAGTGAAGATAGATAGATAGATAGAACATATTGAGATAGATAGAACATATTTAAATTGATAGATATGAAAAAGATCAAGATAGATAGATAGTAGGCTGAGTGAAGATAGATAGATAGATATGAACATATTGAGATAGATATGAACATATTTAAATTGATAGATATGAAAAGACTTCAAGATAGATAGATGAGTGAAGATAGATAGATAGATAACATATTGAGATAGATATGAACATATTTAAATTGATAGATATGAAAAGACTTCAAGATAGATAGATAGTAGGCTGAGTGGAAGATAGATAGATAGATATGAACATATTGAGATAGATATGAACATATAAATTGATATGAAAAGACTTCAAGATAGATAGAGAAGATAGATAGATAGATAGATATGAACATATTGAGATAGATATGAGATATGAAAAGATTTCAAGATAGATAGATAGTAGGCTGAGGAAGATAGATAGATAGATAGAACATATTTGAGATAGATATGAACATATTTAAATTGATAGATATGAAAAGACTTCAAGAGATAGATATTGAGATAGATATGAACATATTTAAATTGATAGATATGAAAAAAGACTTCAAGATAGATAGATAGTAGGCTGAGTGAAGATAGATAGATAGATATGAACATATTGAGATAGATATGAACATATTTAAATTGATAGATATGAACTTGAAGATAGATAGATAGATATGAACATATTGAGATAGATATGAACATATTTAAATTGATAGATATGAAAAAGACTTCAAGATAGATAGATAGTAGGCTGAGTGAAGATAGATAGATAGATATGAACATATTGAGATAGATAGATATTTAAATTGATAGATATGAAAAGACTTCAAGATAGATAGATAGTAGGCTGAGTGAAGATAGATAGATAGATGATTGAGATAGATATGAACATATTTAAATTGATAGATATGAAAAGACAAGATAGATAGATAGTAGGCTGAGTGAAGAAAGATAGATAGATATGAACATATTGAGATAGATATGAAAATATTTAAATAGATAGATATCAAAAGACTTCAAGATAGATAGATAGTAGGCTGAGTGAAGATAGATAGATAGATGTGAACATATTGAGATAGATATGAACATATTTAAATTGATAGATATGAAAAGACTTCAAGATAGATATATATATGATAGAAGATATAGATGATATATGAACATATTGAGATAGATATGAACATATTTGAAGAAATTGATAGATATGAGAAAAGAAAACATATTAAAATTGGAAGATAGATAGATAGTAGGCTGAGATATGAAGATAGATAGATAGATATTTGAACATATTGAGATAGATATAGATATATTTAAATTAGATAGATATGAAAAGAACATATTTCAAGATAGATCAAGATAGTACTGAGTGAAGATAGATAGATAGATATGAACATATTGAGATAGATATGAACATATTTAAATTGATAGATATGAAAAGACTTCAAGATAGATAGATAGTAGGCTGAGTGAAGATAGATAGATAGATATGAACATATTGAGATAGATATGAACATATTTAAATTGATAGATATGAAAAGACTTCAAGATAGATAGATAGTAGGCTGAGTGAAGATAGATAGATAATATGAACATATTGAGATAGATATGAACATATTTAAATTGATAGATATGAAAAGACTTCAAGATAGATAGATATTAATGAGTGAAGATAGATAGATAGATAGAACATGAGATAGATATGAACATATTTAAATTGATAGATATGCGAAAAGACTTTCAAGATAGATAGTAGGCTGAGTGAAGATAGATAGATAGATATGAACATATTGAGACAGATATGAACATATTTAAATTGATGCTTAGATAGATATATAGATGAACATATTTAAATTGATAGATATGAAAAGACTTCAAGATAGATAGAGTAGATAGATGATAATCCATATATTTGAGCAACATATTTGAAGATAGATAGAAAAATATCCAAGATAGACCTGAATTTACTTTATAAATTGGAAGATTTCAAGCTTGGACGAGGGAAGATATTGATCAAGATAAAGAATGGAATTTGAGATCGAACTGTTTTTTAGAACTGTTCCATCGTTTTAAAATCACTTGAGATAGATTTGCATTTTAAATTGATAGATATGAAAAGGAAAGACTTTCAAGAACATATTTGTTGAAGATATAAGAACCAATAGATAGTAGATGATGAAGATAGACGTATTGAAACATCAACGGAAGAAGATTTCTTTAATTGTTTATAGAAATTTTTTCATTCGACTTTTGATATTTTTAAAATTTTGGAAATCATCTTCGAATACGTCTTAACATCGCCCACGTGACGAGTACGTGATCATATTTAAACAGAAAGACTTCAAGATAGATAGATGTATAAAATTTCAGTTATCTGTCTGAATTAGTTGGGCTCTTGAAGATAGATCCATCGTCTTTGAGATAGATTAAATTGTTATAAGTTAAATGTTAATTATGTTTAAATGAAAATGTCCATGAAGATGGTCTTAAATAGACCGAAACGTCCGACGTCGACTTTATTTTAACATTAATAATGCATATTCAGAATTTTGTTTTTTTCTGTATTTTTCTTTCATACTGTCGGATTTATATCCATATATTTGCTTACATATATATATATAGATAGATAGATAGATAGTGGTTCTTACTGGCTTCACTTTCCTATCATTTATTTCCTAAATCCATCCCCGACAATTTGATTTAAAGTATTTTTTTGTTTATAAAATTTTCCACTATGTTTATTTTGACAAGATAACATCGCCCACGGGAATTAGATCTGTATAAAAAAGAATTAGTTGGGTTCTTATGTCCATCGTCTTTTTGTGTTAAATATTTATATGTTTAAATGAAATGTAAATGAAATTCTTTAAATAGACCGAAACGTCCGACGTCGACTTTTTTTCATTTGTCAGAATTTTGTTTTTTAAAATTTTCCCCGGTTAGATTTGAAATCATCATAGATAGATTGATCGAGTATCTCACTTTCCTATCATTTATTTCCATCCATCCCGACATTTTGAGAATCAACGATATATATACTGGGTGTAAAAGCAAAATTGCTGAAATTTGTTCATTTGTCCTGTGGTTAAAATTCTTTAATCTATTTGAACCGTTGTATCTTAGAAATGATTAAAGATATCTTACTGAAATGAATTTACCCAAGGTTTTTTATAACGCTATTGGACTCTACTTTGAGCAATAAGAATGTATAATTACTCTCCAAGCAAGAATCGTGATGAAATCGATCATAAACGAAAATGACATTTTCATCATTAATTAATCATAGCTAAAGATCGGAAGCTCAT